CCCCCCCGGTTTATGTGTATTAATTAATCGGTGGACATTCATTTACTGGTCAACTTTCTTAAGAGACATTATTATTATTATTATTATTTTTCTTATTAAATCCAATTCACATGGGGTTGGAGAAAAGTAAGCTTACATGAACATGATTTCAGTCAATGCGATATAGAAGTGCTTGGAATTGTAATAACTTGTGTTTAACTTGAAAGTATATATATTAAAATAACATATAAAAAATTATAATTTAAAACAAAAAAAAAAATTAAATTTTTTAAAAATACAGCACCACCACAAAAACAAATACCGTCTATATCTTGTATATTTTTTTTAAAAAATCATTCCATCTTCTTTATTTAAATTATTCTTCTATTTTCTATTCTAAAATAATATAAAGATTTTTCAACGTTAACACTTGCCACCCATCCTTGCATTAATGCCCTTGAATCTTTCTACTCCCAAAAGAAATTACGGCTCTCTGGTGGTCCGTGTATTGTTTTTTCCGCCAAATTCTCTTCTGGTCTGGGAGTAGAATTAATCAATGGACATCAATTTGTTCTTCAATTTCTTTAAAGGCTGGATTAAATCCAATTAGGACACGGTACTAGGTGGTGATGGAGAAAAGCAGGCTTATGTAAACATCATAGTTAACACACAATGTCTTGAATACAAAAAATTCAGTCTATCTTACATATAATTATCACACACTATCCTATTTTATGAGATAATAACCATATATTCTTTAACATGAACACTTGTCATCCATGAGATCCTTTCCCTCTCTCCTTCCAAGACAAATTAAAGCACTGCTCTCTACTTGTGATCTACAACCAACGGGTCTTTGCGTATAATATATTTTCGTTTCTTAATTTATTAGTAGCTTATAATTACATTTTGGTCAAAAACAGCATGCACGTTTGGTCAAAAAAACACATGTACAAAACAATAGGGTTCCACACGCGGTTCTGACGATTCTATCACAAAAACTCAGTCACAAACCTCAAGGAGAGAAAAATAATGGAAAGAGAGAATCAAAGAGAGAATCTCTCTTTGGTAGATATTTACCGGTAGTGGGTGAGGAAGGTAACTCTAAACCTTATAAATACATCCACTCCACCACTTCTTTCTTTGTAGCATCCAACTCCTAAATCAAGAGAAAAGGAAAACACCTACCTCTGTCTGTCTCTCTTCCTTCGTTCTACCACCAATCACGTACACATAATAATACATATATCAACACAACATGCCTGTCGATACTTCATCACTTCCATGCCAAGGCCAAACTGTCTGTGTCACCGGGGCTGGTGGCTTCATTGCTTCATGGATTGTTAAACTTCTTCTAGAGAAAGGTTACTCTGTTAAAGGAACTGTGAGGAACCCAGGTTAGTTTATAATAATTAAGCACTTGGTTTCTTTCCCTTTTCTATTTCTGTTCTTAAGATTGTGTTAATTTAATGCTTTGTATTTGTGTTGTTATACACAGCTGATCCCAAGAATTCCCATTTGAGGGAGCTTGAAGGAGCTCAAGAAAGATTAACTTTATGCAAGGCTGATCTCCTTGATTATGAGTCTCTTAAAGAGGCTATTCAAGGGTGTGATGGAGTTTTCCATACTGCTTGTCCTGTCACAGACGATCCAGTATGTTCTCTTTTTTTTCGTTTCTTTTCAGTTCATTGGTAGTAAAAATCTTGTTTGGATGCTGAGAATTTTAAGACAAGAAAAGAAAAACATCACTTGGACTTCCAAGGACAAATTTTAGGCTTGCCGGTGAATTTAAGTATGGATGTCACCGACAAATGTTAGTAAAATATTCTGTACATTTCTTTTTTAGTTTTTTTTTGCGTAATTTCATGAGGCAAAGTATGTTTTCTTCAAATTTGGTTTTGATGATGAGATAATTTTGTGTTCCAATACTTTAAGGAGCAAATGCTGGAGCCAGCAGTGACTGGAACCAAGAATGTGATCATGGCAGCAGCTGAGGCCAAAGTCCGACGGGTGGTTTTCACGTCTTCAATTGGTACTGTGTACATGGACCCCAATAGGAGCCCTGATGTTGT